CTTTATGTCCACTAGAAAAATCTGTACTTTTTTAACTGACACCACATTTCCTTCAAAATCCATGTAAATATTAAGGAAGTAGGTTCAAGTGACTAAGTTGTAACACCTTCTGCAAGGGACATCGAATGGGAACAATCCTGCTGTGAATGCCCAGAGTTCTGTAGGAGGACACACTGGGGTCAGTGGTTAAGAGTGAAATATCAGTATGGAACCTCCAAAGGATTGGGACATACAGCAGAACCAGCCAGTGAGCTCACTGCTGCTGCAGGGAGTGGGAGGGTTTGTTGCCTTCTCCATTCCCCTTCCTTTTAAGTCCTGACTCCTCACCGAAACTTTTGGCTTAACTTTTTATTTTCCAATCAACTGGTACTAAAAAGGCGGAGAGAACTCTTGACTTGGTGTATTTCTAGACCCTCTGTATAACTTGGACCAGAGGCTGATCCTACTGTTTTTTAATGAAAATAGTGCAGTATGTTAAGCCTTTGTATTGAATAGGAAAATGAATTGTTTAAAGTTAGTTTGAAATTGCATTGACAATAGTAGTTTGTTAAGAATATATCACAACATTTACCTTTTCCTCACAGATTATCCGTACATCTGGAGTGTCCAGCTTTTTTTTTTTTATGGCAGTCATCTTTTTCTGCTCATTTTATCTCTTCAATCTGATCTTGGCTGTGGTAACAATGGCATATGAAGAGCAAAACAGAGCTGAAAGAGAGGCCAAGAGAAAACTACTTCAGGATGCTCAACAAATTAGAGAGAAAGAACAGGTTTGTAAATTATTACATAATAAAATATTCTTTAGCAACTATCCAATTTCATCATTAAGGTTTAAGGCACCACCATTTTACCAAGTTCCTCCTCCACAGTTGTTGACAGGTCTGTAATGTTTCCCTGCCTGACATTCCAGCTTGCCAAGATTTACTTAGGCTCTTCTTCCTTCTGTTTTCCTTTTGACAGGATTAGTATTTAAGAAAAGGATTTAGACTGAGCCTTTAGTGTTGTGTTGTCTTTGGACTCAAGGTCCTTTTCAAAGCAAGAAAAGGGAAGGAAAAGGATACACCATAATATTCTGTAATTCAGAGACAAAACATCTCAACTGACAAGGGCAAACTTTAATTTCAGGCACTGACAAGTAACCCTGTTTTGTCTTTCAGTATTTTGAATAGCGTTTTGTACTCCTGTCTTTTTATAACCGTTTAATATTGGAAAGCTAGCAATTGTTACTGCAAAGCATTCAGACAACATAGTAATTTAATGAGTGAAAATAAATTGAAAATTATCCTAGTCTGTGTGTTGGCATTTGCCTTGTGTTCATAGACAGACCTTTGGCCTTTTCTCTTACAGGAGCTGGCTGCAGGAGAAAGCAGTAAGGTCTTGCAGGTTGGATCTGAAATGCCACTTGCTGACTTGAAAAATTCAAAAGGAAGAGAGAGTAATAAGGAAACACCTATTTTAGGACAAAATGCAATTTCCATTGACCAGAAGAAAAAGGAGGAAATATTTCATTCACAGCCTGGTCACAGCCACAGGGAGCTTGTAAGTATTTGAAATAGAAGATATATTCATTAGACTTAGGTGTGATAGGACAATTCAGCGTGCAGAAAAGATTTCCCCTCTTCTTAATTTTTTTTTTTTCTTCTCCTCCTTGTATTCATTGTAATATCTTGTTTTTTAAAGAAATCTGAAAATTATATTTTGGGATGTCAGTAGTACATATTAGTATTTCATATTAAAATAATTTCACGTTAAAACAAAGAAACAAAACAAACAAAAGAAAGCCTACAGCATGATCAAAGCAGTGTGAGATGCTCTGATGTAGAGTTCTTTCATTAGTCAAAAAAATATAAACTGCAACAAAGGTGGCAATCACTGATGGTTTTTCAACTGAGGACTCACAATGTACTCTGTACTTTCATCATAAAAGAGGCTAAAGATGTGAGGTTAAAGAGAAAAAAACCTATCAGGTAGAAACATTTTGGTAGGACTTAATCAGTTTATAAAAACTTGAATAGATTACTCCTCTAGTACGTATCCTTATTTTGAATCCCAGTTTCTCAGAGGACTTCTCATCCCCAGTTATTTCCCTCAGTTAAAGACAGATGAGCAGCAGTAATGAGGTCAGTGTCAATTCATTTGATGTGTCCATTCTATGACAGTTCTATCAGCTAAATTTTGGTTATTTTTTTCATTAAAATATCAAGATGGCAAAAAAAAAAAAAAAGATTATTAAGCCCCTGAGTCCAAGGATATCAGTTTCATTCCCCTGAAAAACAGTTTTCTAGAATAAGTAAATAAAAAGCATCATATCATAAAGTTTGAAGTAATGTTATGATAGATCCTTACTTCTGTACCCTTCCCACAAAAAGAAAATGAAGCGAATTAAGTTGTGCTGAGAGGGAATACCGAGGTACTGGGCGCTGTGATGTGGTCAGTCAGTCCACTCCCAGTCTGTCAAGGTTCCCTCTCAACTGGTAGGTCTAATTATATCCTTCCTGATACCAGAATCTTTGGTTAGAGCCTGGTGCTAGTAAAAACCAAGGTTGTGGGTTCAATCCCTGCGTGGGCCATTCAATGAAGAGCTGGAGTTGGATGATCCTCGTGGGTCCCTTCCAACTCAGGGTTTTCTGTGAAATTGCAGTAAAATTCTTTCTTATTTTCTCTGTCTCAGTCTCACATATTCTTTGCAGCCTGTGTTATGTGACTGTCTACTTAATCTTGAGAAAGTGTGTGTGTTAATGTGTCATGATCTGAATATTTAATAATAATTCAGTGTATCCCATAAGATACAAGTATTGGCCTGTCTGTCCTTGAGCTCTCATCAGGAGCACTGAGCTGAGCATTCTGTGGCTTCTAAAGAAAACAAAAGTAGTGCCATTCCTAGTTTTGGGCAGTTCAATATTAGTAGAGATCTAGATAGGCCTGGTAGTGCTGGAAAAATAATAATTTTTATTATTGTCAGTTTTTCCAATTCCCTTGGTATACTATTGTCTTTCTAACCAAAGAGGCAGGTCCTGCTGTCTCGTGATGTGTCAGTGGACTCTATTAATGATCCTTCACGAAGACAGAGGTTAATGAGTGCAGCTGCTATTCTTACAGATCTTTCAGGTAAGTCATTTTTCCTATGGGATTGTGTAATGTGACCTGAGAGATCAAACTGTCTCAAACACTCAGCATTATTCTAAAAGCCACGAGGGGAAATTATGCACCAAATGTAAATTTCAGTAACATAAATATTCTCATATCTCATGTAATTGTGTCTGTAACTCGCAATAACCAAGGGCAAATCATGCCTTACCAACTTGGTTGAAAGAAGAGAACTTCAAAGTGTGTGTAAGCAGAAATTTTGCCCATTTTCAGAGGAACAGGTGGTGCAGTCTCTGATCTGATGATGTCTGACCTTGCTTTGAGAAGGGGATTGCACTACAGATCTGCTGAGCTCTCTTCCAACCTCACTTATAACCCTGTCCTCAGCTGTGGACACCCGTGGCTGTGCAGATTCAACTCACAGGAAACAGGTTGCCATTTTCCCTGAAACAGTGATTTTTCTCCTTGATGCAGATCCTTTATCATCCTTTAATAGTGTATTCATAGAATCATGGAAGGGTTTGTGTTGCAAAGGACCTTAAAGATCATCTCTTTCTTACCCCCTGCCATGGGCAGGGACACCTTCCACTGGACCAGGTTGCTCAGAGTCCCATCCAACCTGGCCTTGAACACTCCCAGGGGCAACCACAGCTTCTCTGGGCAACCTGTGCCAGGGCCTCACCAGCCTCACAGGAAAGAATAATAAACAGATGAAGAGGTGGGTAATATCCTCTGTTTCTGTCATGTTGAGATTTGTTGATTCTGACCTGCAATAGCCTGTGATTAATTTGTGTAGTAGGAGTGAAACAACTTTTTTCAGTGATGCCATTCTGCTCACATGAGACTGATGTTTCTTTTCAATCTTTTCTCTGACTGATTGTTTTTCTCTTCCCACTATGATATTCCACATAGGATTATTCATATTTCACTTTGCCTCTTTCTCTGCTAGGGTCAAAAGAGAAACGTCTTGCATTGTGGAAACGTTTTGTAAAAAAGTGCTTAATTTGGAATTGTTGTCCATTCTGGAGAGCAGTCAAAAAGAAGATGAAATTGGTGATTTTGTATCCATTTTTTGATCTCTTTATCATGTTTTGCATTATCTTGAATACCTTATTTATGGCTATGGAGCACCCTGACATGCCAGCATATACCATACCACTGATTACTATAAGTGACGATGTAAGTGAGGTCTACATTAGTGTAAATATGGAGTTATGACCCTGTATTTATGCTGGAACAGTCTCATAAGGAGACAGACTTCTTCAGTGACCTTTTCTGAATTTCTTTTTCGTCCTTCCAGGTCTTCACCCTGATTTTTGCACTAGAAATGATCTTGAAAATCATTGCTCTAGATCCCTACTACTATTTTCAGAACAAGTGGAATGTTTTTGATAGCTTCGTTGTTTTGATTGGCCTACTGACCATTGGATCCAGTTTTGTACCTTTCCGGCTGGTAATGATTTCTTTATTATTTTTTAAAAGCACATGTATTGTATAGATTTGTAAAAGATTACAGGAAAATACCTTCTCATTATTTTACTGATAAATCTGTCAAATCAGTTCTCTTTGCTTGTAAATAGTAATTAAAGATGAACATTTCACTGAATAGATAGTAAAGGTTTCTTAACAGATTTTACTTTTGAGCTGAGGTTTGTAAAATAAGCGACACCTCAGACCTACAATCAGGAGGAGATATTACCTGAGTATTTCCTGAGCTTAAGGATAGCAAAGGTTCCTTCACAGCTTTTCCCTTTGAGCTGAGATTTGTGAAATAACAGAGATTTTCTCAGGGTTTAGTCTTGGCCTTGAGGGCTCTTCAGTGCTTTCCTCCATTCTAGGGAAAAAGAGGAATCATTCTGAGGTGTCTGTTTATAACGTTACTTTTGTATTTATGTCCTGACCACACATTTTAAATGCTAAATTTACTAATTACTTCAAAATGCTTCTTAGCATTTCATTCCTCAAGCCTAAAAATGCAATTGAATTCTGTTTCCCCTTGTGTATCATGACTGAGAGTTTTTCACAGCCCTAAATGCCAATTTGACTAACTACCTCCATTTTACTCATGGGGGTACATAGGGTAGGTCCCACTTGGCTTTTCAGATCCCATTTTAAGTCTGTTGGGTGAGAAGTATAAAAAAATATTTGTCTTACTGCATTTGATCAAAACTCAGTAATTTCATAACCTTTTCCAAGTACCCATGACCTACTTCATTATATTCCTGATCTTTTTCTTGCTCTTAACATTATTTGAATGGCACTTTCTCATATCTAACTTAGTGCAAACAATTTGAATCCTTTTTTGATAGTTCATGCTCTCATTAATATTAACTGTCAGAACTCAAGCATGGCACTTTTACAACAAAACAATTAAAAGCCTTTCTTTTTGGGAAAAAAAAATACTGCAATAAAGGCAGCATGATAAATGCAGCATCTGGTTTTTATGTGGGCTGTGATTTCTAGGCTGTGCTTGACCTTTCCTTTTTTCTCTTGTGTTTATTTACAGATCAGAATATTCAAATTGGCAAAGTACTGGCCAGCCTTGAATACTCTTATGAAAATAATTCTGAACTCATTTGGTGCTCTGAGTAACCTCACTCTGGTTTTGGCTATCACCGTATTTATTTTTGCTGTAGTAGGAATGCAGCTTCTGGGCAGTGATTATGAAAACAAAATCCATAAAATAAGCACCAGTAAAACCTTACGCTGGCATATGATGGATTTCAGTCATTCAGTCCTGACTATATTCCGAATATTATGTGGAGAATGGATTGAAATGATGTGGGAATGTATGGAAGTGGCTGGAAAAGAGGAATGTATTACCATTTTCTTGCTAGTCCTGGTGATAGGAAACCTGGTGGTGAGTTTTAAGCTGATTCCAAGTCCCTACTGAATGCACCCAGTTACACTGGCAACTGATTTTTTCAGAGGAAAACTTTATCATTTCAAGAGTATTCGCAAAATTCTCCTCTTATCTGGATGTTATTTGACATGTTTGTCCTTTTTTTTTTTTTTTACTTTTCCCTGACTTTCTCACACAAGAGGTAGAAGCAATACAAAATTATTCCCTCTACCCAGAGAATACAAGTGCAGTGCTTCTGATAATGTGATGTCTGATGTAAGCATCTTTTGTGTTGATAGGATCCAGTAACCAAACTGTTCAGTGCTTTTAATGCTTATCAACTTGTCCTTGTATTATCAAGAGTTTACCATACCCAGATTTTCTGGTTTCTATGACATATAGTGGATCTAATGTAAATGTACTGGAAGACAAAATCTTTTTCATCTGCTTGGTTTGTTGCTCTACACCAGAACCTTTCTGATGGTGATGTTATTCAAATGTGTCTTTGCTGGTTTTCAACATTTCTATCTCCTCATACATTATGGACATCACAGCAGGTGAAAATATATTTGATATACCCAAACCCTCATTCCTTCCTTTTTCTCCTGCCATTCCTTCCAGAAGGGGCCATATTGTACTATGACAATATTGCAGTATAATAGTAAATAATTTCATGGCAAAGGTTGATGAAAGCAAGACTGAGGGTTTCTGAAGTGTCTTTTCTGTTAGCAGTAGTGCCTCTAACTTACTTTAACTATTTTAAGGTGCTCAACTTGTTCATTGCCTTGCTGCTGAGTTCCTTCAATACTGACGCCTCAGGGGGACAAGAGGAACCTGGAGAAGGGAATAAATGTCAGATTGCCCTTGCACGGATTTACAAGGGCCTGAAGTCTGTGAAAGACAGAATTCTGGATCCTTGTGGCAAAAAAATGAAAGGAAGCCTCAAAAAGACAGACAAAAAGCAGACTTTAGTAGAAATTTCTGGCACAAACCTAGAGGATAATAATTATGCCATGACACATGTCAGAAAATATATAGACAACAATGGCTTTGACACAGAGTTTCACCATAATGAAGAGAATTCCTCGATATCATGGAAATATGAAGACATTTCCAGCAGTCACAGTATCTGTGTTCCCATTGCAGCAGCAGAGAGTTACAGTGACCAAAGTGATGATGAGCACATTGTATTCACAGAAACAGAACAGAGAAAGCAGGTAAGAACTATTCATATTTAAAACAAATACTGTAACTTACATCTGTAATTGCCATCTCAAAGGCTCAACAGTAAATGGTATCCCTTCTGTCATTTATGCCATTTTACTTTCTTTGTTCTTCTATTGCAAGGACTACCAAATAGTCTTCATTTTCCAAAGGGGTTTTGAATATCCACTTTGTCACCATTCTCTTCAAGGAGAGCCATAATTCTGCTTTGGTCTGTTTTGTTTCCATCTCTTGCTGTCAACTGATAAATGAAGTTTTGACCAAGACGGACATTCCTTCTTTTTGTCTCCTTTATCTTAAACGTTTTGGCAGGCAGGCCTCTGCTGCTGCTTATATGTCACTTCTCAGCTGCCATTTCCTATGGGTTTGGTCATATTAGGAAGCAATGCCAGTGGAATGTCTTTGGACAAGTTCTCAAAGAAGCAAAAATAGCTGATCACCTTAGAATCATCTGTGGCCATTTCCAATATTCCAGAAGCATTTGATGACAAAACCTTGTTCTCTGCTGTAGTGGACTCTGACCTTTCCTGGAATTTGTGAAGACAAAAGGATTGAGAACTGTCTGGGATCACTTAGGTCTTCTGCCTGTAACTGGAAGCATGAGGCTGTTGGGGTCCAGCTGCAAAGGTTAATTGGAGGCAGAAATCCATCCATGGGCTAAATTTATTTCTTGGGGAATGATACATTTCCCCAGCAAAACCTCAGGAGCACAGTATTTGAAACTGAGGAAGAAACCATTCTATTACAAGCATTTTGAGGGTATCATTTAATTATCTATAAAAGATAAACATACTTGTGTAAGGTTCTCTGCCCGTGACAGAGGGGTTGGAACTAGTTTATTTTTAAGGTCCCTTTCAACCCAAACTATTCTGTGATTCTAAATTTTGTGGATTTTTAGATTTTGTAAAAGAATTCTGACTGTTAAGAATGACTGTCAGGAAGGTTTCCATTATTTTCTGTAGGGAGCCACGTCAAGAAATAGAGAACAGCGGTGGAGTTCAGGCAGCTTCAGTCAGATTTCTGGGACTCCTGAAACAATACATGTTTTTACAGTAACACATGAAAAGCAAGAGCAAAAAGAGGTAATTCTAACTTTTATGATCTTGTGGAATGTGCTAGAGATTCAGACTGTCACAGCTGTTTTTCAATTCAGCAATGACAGGACAGGCTGGGATTTTCTGAAGAGTTGCAAGTATAATCCCTGTGCAGGTGGCACATCTCTGTAGAGGCAGTAATAGCATGGAGGTTTGTCTCTCATCAATAACCATGGTTAATGGTGTAATTCATGTATTATTTTGTACAAAAGAGGTAAAAAGAAATTAACCAGGAAACACACTTTCTTTAAGCATGTCTGAGAGATGCTATTCGTTTCTATGGATAATTCTGTTTGCTGTCATTCTTGAATGCAAAAATGTGCTCTCTCGAAATGGTTCCCTAAACAACCATGCTTCTTCTAGTATAGAAACCCAGCTCATTCTAATATTCTAATACAGTACAGTTCCATATCAAAAAAAGGTGGAGAATCATGACTTGCCCCCAGTGATCCAGAAAATTCAATGGAAGTTCAGCATCTTTCTGAATTATTACCTCCAGAAGTCTAACCCCATTAGCATTTCTGGTTCTAGGCACAGTTGCCAGACTTTTTGTTTGTTATACATTTTTGAAATATATTTATATTTAAAAATAATATTGAAAACATTACAGTGCCCATTAATTTAAATAATTGCATTTTTGTATATGGTGAAGATTCCATAACTCCTTAGATTAGAGTAGAGCATCATGGCTGTTGTGGAAGAGGAAATTCTCCCTTCTTCTGGCTTCCCATTCTTATATATGTCCTCATGCCTTCCCTTTCCGTGATATACAGGGCACTTACACATTATGGCTGATAGATTTCTTTTTTTTTTTTTTTTCCTTATACTTGATTTCCTTATTGTCTTCAGTTTTCTAAGTTTGTAGGTTACCTACCAGTAATTACAGTTCTTTGTGATCTGTAGATCTGTGATGGGTTGACTGTGGCCAGATATCAGGTACCTAATAAAGCAGGTCTCTCACTCTCCCTCTGCAACTGGACAAAGGAAAGCGAAAAAAAAAAGACAGCTAAGGATTCATGAGTTGAGATAAGAGCTGGGAGAGATCATTTGCTGATTACCTTCAGAGGCAAAACAGACTCAAAGTGGGGATAGTACTTAAATTTATTGCTAACGCTCATTCACTCCACTCTTCCCTAGCTGGAATTCCTTCTGCTCAACATTCTCAAATATGTTATCACAGAGGGGTCACTGTCACCCCTAACTGGCTTGGCCTTGGCCAGCGGCAGGAGTCCATCCTGGAGCCAGCTGGCATTGGCTCCAAGAGACAGAGGAAGCTTCTGGCAGGTTTAAAAAAAAACACCCCTGTAGCCCCCCTTGCCACACCTCCCAGGTACCAAAACCCAGCAGCAGAAACCCATTGCAGGACCATACATACATTTCTATCCTGTCAGGCCTTCCCATCTTCAAGCTTTTTGAGATGTGGTTTGTACCTCTGAAAATGAAAAGAGAATCGAATTGGCCTAAAGAAGTCAGACTTCTCTCCCAAGTTGTAGCATAAGAAAGTCGTTTTGTCCCTGCATATCCTGTTTAGATGAGTAGAAGAAACCAAGAAACTTCTTAACTTAAACCCGTGGGCATTGACTTAAAAGTGGGCATTGACTTTTTCTGTCCTATTATTTGTAGTAGTTTTAAGTTGATAGTTCAGAAGCAATAAGGTAATTTATAGACTACAGAATTCTTTTGGGGAGGGGGTTTGGGTATGATAAATTTCATCTATATTAGGCTTGTTAACCTTATTAATGAAAAGCAAAAAAATTCTCCTCTTTTTTTTTTTTCTCCCATGCAGAAATTTGATGCTGCCTGTAACTTTTCTGAAGCCAGCACTGTGGATCCAGCTGTTGGTCTGGAGATGTTTTCCCAGACTAAAAACTCACACCTGCCTAAGGACTGTTTTGGAGAAAGTAAGAATCTTTTCTGTATTATGCTAACACCAGATGAACCAGTGTTGAAAAATATCCACTTGGAACATGTCCAAATTAGCAGAATCTGTTTTCCTGCTCATCCCAGTGTTGACATTTACCTTTGATTACCTGAACTTCTCCTCAGACTCCGTTGACTCTCATGGTTCAATCCTGCTGCCTTTACAGATTCCTGAAGAGTGTTTCTGGTGGAAAGCAGTGAACAGGGAGTGTAGTTGTAATGTCTCTGCAGTGCAACAAAGTGAAATGATCACTAAAAATAAGAATTAACTAATGTAATACCTCTTTTCAAAACAAAAAGAAGAAGTGCAGATAATAAACGTATATGAAAGTAAAGGTGTGGGTTTCTTTTGGTACCCATAAGCCTTTCTGCAGAAAGACAAAAAAAGCAACACTCTTTTTTTCCATGTATGAGTTGCTCTATTAAAAGAGATCATGGCATACAAGTTTTTTCTTTTCTTTAGTTTGAGATAATTTTAACCACAGCATCACCTCATAAGTAAAACAGCACATTCTTTCTCTAGTCTGTAGAAACTCTCTTTAAGATGTCTTATACTTTCTTGATTTCATGTCTCAGCATTTTCCATGGAACCAATAGACTGTTCTTTCTCTTTTCAGAGTGTGGTAAATGTTTCCCATGTTGTGTAGTGGATATCACTAAGTTTCCAGGCAGAACTTGGTGGAACTTCAGGAAAACCTGCTACAGAATTGTTAATCACAGCAGATTTGAATATTTTATGATTTTTATGATAGTATTGAGCAGCGCAGCACTGGTAAATTGCATTTATTTTCTTAAAGTTTGAATTGATTGTTGTCAGGAAAGAAAAATAATAGTATTTAATTGTTTTTATACTCTGACATTTCTTCCTGCAAGGAAGAATCCCTAAACTTTATAAGGCTTTCTCCCACTTGTATAGTTTTATATATATATGGATTTAAATATATAGAATTGTAGTTTTTCAGGGAACATAGTTCTTCATACACTTATGTGTTAGTTACAAGGCTAAACCTGGGGTTTAGAAGACAGTCTAAAATTTCTTAGCACTTTTTTACTTTTAAGTATAAAACAAAGTGGTGGTTGCCCATAATTTAATATGAAATGGTTGTAATCAGACAAAGTATAATAAGACAAACTGTATAGTCTTATGCAGTTTAAAAATAATTTTCCATACAGCTACTGACCTGCTTTATAACTGAATTCTGAAATTTCAGGCATTTGAAGATATTTACCTGCACAAGAGAGATACACTGAAAATGATCCTAGATTATGCTGACAAAATATTTATCTACATCTTTTTGATGGAGATGCTTCTGAAATGGGTAGCTTATGGATTGCACAGTTACTTCACAAATTGCTGGTGTTTGCTTGACTTTGTCATTGTATGTGTAAGTATTATATTCAGCTGGTCATACATTTTGATTTTTGACATTTTCTATCTGCCTAACTACATGTGAATTCTTATTATGAGTAACTGCAGGTGGGAAAGACAGCTTCCAAAAGCTGAAAAACCTGGAATCCAAAGAGACCTTAGGACAAATTTAAATAGAAATTTTTGGTAGTAATCAGAAGTTGTTGAAGAAACTTTTATTAGATATCACCTTTTATGGCTATTTATAAAGAACATGTAGCATAACTTTAGCAATTTTGGTTTTCTAATCTTAATAGCAATGCTGTCCAAATCAGAGGAAAGGTATGAAAAGATCCAGTGGTTGGACAACAGTGCAAGAATTTCAACTAGGAGAGAAGAGACAAATCATGAACAGTCAAAAAATTCCCTAATTACTAAAAATTTTTTCTAACATTTTAATTTATTTTTTTTCTCTTAGAAAAATTTAAAATATTGGATAAATTTTTTAAAAATAATTTTTGTTTCCACATCACCATCTTTGGTGATGAAAACCCTTTCTGGTTTGGCAGTGTATCAGAGTACCATAATTAGCAACTTGGTTATCATATTAGCTATCAAAAAAATTGTATGAACTGGATTTGAAAAAGAAAAAAACAAAACAGGAAAAAAACCATTTTTAATTAGAATGAAGGAAACCCAATTTGTTTTCATATATTAGAAACTAATGAAGTAAAATTATATTACAGTAACTTGGAATGTGCATTTTCTTAATTTGACTTGATGGTCAAAGATATTATAACATTCAGGTAATAATTGTTTGCTAACACAAACAAGGGAAATTTTGTTTACTATTTAATAACCCCAGCTCCAATTCTATGAACACAGCTGTCATTTGTTTCCTGGGGACTGAATCCTGATTCCAAAGGTGTATCACCTTGTTCCTCCAGGAGTGGCCTGAAATCTCTCAGGACTCTTAGGGCATTGAGGCCTCTACGAGCTTTGTCAAGATTTGAAGGGATAAAGGTAAAGATATTGGGGGTTGGTGTGAATATTTTGTAATGGCTGCATTTGAAGATTTTTAAGAAAATGACAACATAAAATGCATTATTATTTTCATTCATTTCCTTCAGGTTGTTGTCAATGCACTCCTCGGAGCTATCCCCTCAATCCTCAATGTTTTGCTCGTCTGTGTTGTCTTTTGGCTCCTATTTAACATTCTAGGAGTAAAATGGTTTGGGAGAAGATTTGCAAAATGCATACTCCAAGAAGGAGATATCAGTCTCATTAATAACGAAACTGATTGTATTACCTATGGTGGAAATTGGACAAATTATCCTGTAAACTTTGATAATGTTGGGATAGGATACTTGGCTCTGCTCCAAGTGGTAAGTTCTATTAAAAAGATTACCAGTTTTGGTTTCTTCAAGGAAATGGGTTGAGCAGCCCAGCCATGGGACACCACTATGCCTCTGTTTATCCCATGGGAACTGGGGATTTTTTTTAACTTCTATATGTATTTTCCTTATCTGTGACCTGCTCAGTTCCTCCTAAAGAACATGTGCAACCTTGTGTTAAAATCAAGATCTCTGTTTCATGGCTTTTCAGTTTTGTTTTCATTTTGATTAACACACTAAGCCTGAAATAGTCTGCAGGTTACTGAATTAAAACTATTCTTATTTTGTCTAGTTCAGAGTGGATGAGAAAGAAAATCAGGGCACAGTTCATTTAAATTTTCTTTTCCTGTGGAAGTTATGAAGGATTGGAATACTAATTTACTGAGCTCCCTAACACCCCAAGAAAGGAGAGAAAGGCAATTATTAGATTGGCTGTTATCCCTGTATCTTTTTTTCAAGGAGTTCTATGTCCTGGATCCTCCAAAGTGTTTTATCATTCTGCAGAGTTGCTAAAAATTGCAGGAAAGAATTGTCTGCTGTGAGCTAAGAAATTGTTTTTATCCTTTCATATTATATTTGCAAGCTAAGCTGAAAGTTTTACCAATTTTATTTTTTTTTTACAAAACACTCTTAATTTAACAAGAATTTAAGACACTTTTCACAAGCATCATGATTTTGTTATTGTTGTTATTTTTAGGAAATATTTTTGTTTGTTTCTTTGTTTGTTTTTGTTTAATTTTCAGCAAGTTCTTTTTTTTTTGTCTTTACTAAACTCCAGTGATACCTCCAAGCAGATCTTTAGAAATTATACACATTTTTTATAGCACACTTCTCATTTTCCACAGCTATCAACACATTTATATTAGCTATACCTGTTTTTATTTTCATAGCTGTAACAAACTTAATAATGCATTTTTTCAGGCAACTTTTAAAGGTTGGATGGAGATTATGTATGCAGCAGTGGATTCACGTGGGGTATGTCACTACAATGAGGTTTTAGTTCTTTTCCCTTTTCTTCTTCCCTTTTCCATCCATGCAATTACTTTTTCATCTTTATTTGCAACATCAAAGCAAAAATCCAAGTGGTTGAATGCATCAAACTGCACGGTGAAACAATAATCCTTGGAGTAACAAAAATCTGGAAATTAGACAAAAGAAACAAGTCAAAGCAGAGTGACACCACACAAAAGCCTGCTATGTCAGGAATGCAGAGGGGAAGGTGTTGCAAGCTTTGTGCAAATCTCTTTTGGAAACAGAATACAGAAGGTCTTGAAGGGACTGTGCAAATTTTCTTCCTTTTCAAACGCGTACAGGAGAACTGAAACAGCATGCAGCTAGAGCAGTTATTTCAGGAGTTTCTCTTCCCTATGCTTGACATCCTCCCTATTTCCTCCCTATTTGCATGTGTTGTTCCTCACTCTCTTACCGGGACAGTGTATTTTAACTTCTCTATATTTACCTGAATTTACATTTTTCTCACTCATTCAGTCTGTGTGCTCTTGACTGTAGTGAAATAGCTGCTGATTAACAGGGTTGTTCCTTGTAGGGCTGATCTGAGTGAGCTGGGGCTTTAGAATTGCCTCTTGTCTGGGATAGCATTCCAGAGGATGGCAGTTCAACACTATGTTGAGCTTGAGCTGATCCCTTCTGATTGGAACTGGTTATTTATTACTTAAAAATTTGCTAAAGCTGGATTTGTCTCTATAGCTCTGTTTGTCATAATCTTTACAATCAGTAGCAAGATAGACCAAGACAGTGGTTCTACTTGTACATCCAGATAAAGATTTAAATGGGTGGAAATAATTTATCTTTAATGACAACAAAAAGATCCGTTATTATAAATTGGAAATGGTAAAGCTGTGATCATCTCATTTTTACCAATATTATTTTTCTGGTTTGACTGTTTTTTTAACAGATCTATGAACAGCCACAGTTTGAAGCACGCTTACACATGTATATATACTTTGTGGTTTTCGTTATTTTTGGATCTTTCTTCATGCTGAACCTTTTTGTTGGAGTGGTTATCAACAATTTTAACCAACAAAGGAAAAAGATAAGTACTACTGGAGCTAACTCAGGGTCTCCTGTAATCCCAGTTTAAGTGAATGGTGGTTTGACATGTAGATGTCTAACATTTTGAAATAATTGTTTAACTGGATAAATTTAAAGTAATAACATTTTAAACCGAGTTTTGGAAAGAAGAATTCCCTTTTTGTCAAAGTTTTTAGCAATTTACCTGTATCATAGAGTAGAATCATAGAATCAGATGGGTTGGAAAAGACCTCTGAGATCATCAACCATGTACGTAGTGGATCAAGGGCTGGACTTGATGATCTCAGAAGTCCTTTCCAACCTGGCTGATTAAATGATTCTATGATTAAGTCCAACCCTTGATCAAACACCACTGTGGTTACTAGACCATGGCACTAAGTGCCACATCCAGTCTCACCTTCAAAACCTCCAGGGACAGAGAATTTGCCACTTCCCTGAGCAGCCCATCCCAGTGCCTGATTACCCTCTATGTAAAGAATTTCCTTCTAACATCTAACCTAAACCTCCCCTGGCAGAGCTTAACACTGTGCCCTCTTATCTTACTGATAGTTGCCTGGGAGAAGAGACCAACCCCCGCCTGGCTACAACCTCCTCTCAGGTAGTTGTAGAGAGCGATGAGGTCTCTCCTGAGCCTCCTGCTCTCCAGACTAAGCAGTCCCATCTCCCTCAGCCTCTCCTTATAGGATTTGTGTTCAACTCCCTTCACCAGCCTGGTTACTCTTCTCTGGACCTGCTCCAGCACCTCAATATCCTTCCTGAACTGAGGAGCCCAGAAATGAACACAGTACTCAAGGTGTGGCCTCACCAGTGCCAAGTACAGGGGAAGGATCACTTCCCTGCTCCTGCTGGCCACACTGTTCTGAAGCAGGCCAGGATCCACTGGCCTTCTTGACCCCCTGGGCACACTCGGGCTCATGTTCAGCTTTCTGTCAATCAGCACTCCCAGGTCCCTTTCTGCCTGGCTGCTCTCCAGCCACTTTGTGCCCAGCTTGTAGTGCTGCAGGGGGTTGTTGTGGCCAAAGTGCAGGACTCAAAACTTGGCCTTGTTGAACCTTGCCCCATTGGAATCAGGCCAACTCTCCAGCCTATCCAGGTCCATCTGCAGAGCCCTCCTGCCTTCCAGCGGGTCGACACTCCCTCCCAACTTGGTGTCATCTACAAATTTGCTGATGATGGACTCAATCCCCTCATCTAAATCATCGATAAAGCCCAGCACTGATCCCTGGGGGACACCACTGGATCCCAATTGGATGCAGCCCCATTCACCAGCACTCTCTGGGCCCGGCCCTCCAGCCAGTTCTTAACCCAGCACAGAGTGCCCCTGTCCAAGCAGGGCTGCAACTTTTTCAGGAGTATATTACGGGAGACAGTGTCAATGGCTTTGCTGAAGTCCAGATAGACACATCCAAGGCCTGCCCCTCATCCACCAGGAGGGTCACCTGATCATAAAAGGAGATCAGGTTGGTCAGATGTGACCTGCCCTTCCTAAACCCATGCTGGCTGGGTCTGATCCCTTGTCCATCCTTTAGGTGCTGTGTGATTGCACTCAGGATGATCTGCTCCATAACCTTGCCAGGCACTGAACTCAGGCTGACAGGCATGTAGTTTCTCGGATCCTCCTTCTGGCCCTTCTTGTGGATTCTTGTGACATTTGCCAACTTCCAATTGTCTGGGACCTCCCCAGAGAGCCAGGGCCATTGGGAAATGATGGAGAGTGGCTTGGCGAGCTCTTCCTCCAGCTCCCTCATCACCCTTGGGTGGATCCCGTCTCATCCCATAAAATTGTGAGGATCAAAGTGGCTCAAAAGGTCGCAAACTGTTTCCTCCTGGATTACAGGGGGACTATTCAGCTTCTTATCTCTTTCTATAAGCCCCAGAAGACAGCTGTCCTCAGGACATGTCTTACTGTTGAAAACTGAGGTAAAGAAGGTGTTAAATACCTCAGCTTTTCCTCATCTTTGATAACTATGTTCCCCTGCCATGTCCAATAAAAAATTGAGGTTTTCCTTGTCCCTTTTATGATTGATGAGTGGCTTCTGAATCCTGGGTTCAAAGGGATTGCTAAGTACTACAGGGGGTGCAGATGGGGATAAGTAATACAGGGGGTGTAGATGGGAATAAGAAATTCATTGTCAGGAACCCCCTGTAGAACTGGGTCCCATCATCCTCCATTTACCTGCTAGTCCAGCAACACACTTCAGTTTCTACCTTCCCCAAAACTAGAAAGTATTTCACTCCTTGATGCATCTTATGTCATTTTTAAACTATGAAATAGATTTGTAAAACTTCAGAAAGGCTCTCTCACTTGAGGGAACTGACTTGGCAACACTGCCTAGACTAGACTTTCATGATCAAACCCAGATCAACTCTTTCCAGTACATCATTTCAAAGATCAAGGGGAAAAGGAGAAATGGTGAAGACACAGTTTGTCTCTGTGCTCTCTTAGGTCCCACTCAGGACAGCTATAACTTACCCTTTTTTACAGAAATTTGCTTGTATTTATTTAGGGAACTGCTTAAACTTCAGCTGAACAACAATATTCTTTCCCTTTACTTAGGTGTAAAAGATCTATTTCTGACTGAGGAACAGAAAAAGTACTATAATGCCTTAAAAAAGCTTGGATCCAAGAAACCTCAAAAACCCATCCCAAGACCATCGGTGAGACCATCTTAAGTAGAACATGAGAGAAGATACAATGATGGTGACCATATTTGAACTCAGTAGCCAGGCACAGGGAAATCAACTTTGCATTAGAGCCCATCATCTTCTTTATTCAATGTAGTATTTACATTTTACTCTTTCCTAATTCCCCCTAAAAGAGTCTTTCTTTGTGGGCAATAATTAGGGAAATTTATATCTTGTTTATGACCTATTAAAATATACAACCTGTTTATACAGGTTCGTATTAAGTATTTGATAGTCATGCCATTACCTTTTGATTACTTATGTTGCGTTACATTGCTTCTGTAACTAGATTGGATTATTGCAGGTGAGAATGAATAGAGACTAGGACATTCTCCATGGCAGTTATTTGCTTTTAAATAATCCTATGCTTTATTTCTTTTGGTTTCTTAAATTTATTTCCAGGCTTGGCTTTTCATGGTAACTATTCAGAGTTTTTATTGCTTATGACATTTTAATTTGAATTGCTTATAGTAAAATATCTGCTTCAATGAGTATTTCTATTAAAAGAGGAATCACAATGTACTCTGAATGTTTTCCTGAAATATATATACATATATACATATATATATACATTCATGCCAATGTTCTTGCTTGATGCCTGAATATACTTAGCCAAGTACTGTGAGTTTTCGTTGAAGATCTAAAGAAATCACCTAATATTGCTTTAAGTAGATTATTCTTAAGTTTATGTTGCCTTCAGTTCTTGTTCTAAGTACAAATTACTGATCATTATTTGAATGCAGGCTGGGTCCTAGAAGTAACATCAAGCATTTCTTGTTCTCTCCACAGAATGCATTCCTGGGATTGCTGTTTGATATCGTAGAGCACAAAGCATTTGACATCGTCGTTGTGATTTTGATCTGCCTAAACATGGTTGTTATGATGGCAGAAAATAACCAGGGAGACACCAAGGAAGTTCTTAATAAAATCAATTATTTTTTTGTGGCTATATTTACTGCGGAATGTGTCATGAAAATACTGGCCTTAAGACAGCACTACTTCAAAAGCGGCTGGAACTTATTTGATTTTAGTGTTGTGGTCCTTTCAATAGTCAGTAAGTACCAATCACTAAATCAGGTAATGTGTCATACCAATATTGAGCCAAATTTCCTTATGAAGTAACCACTTACATGAATTTCATAAACAAATTCCAGATCCACTGTACTTTTTCAAAGTATATGCTAAGTGATTCCTTCTGAAAGGATGTATTTTTGTTTTCCCATATATTCTTTCATGGTACTGAAAGGTACATGGAGTTTTCAATTTTTACTTTTCTTAAAGTATGTTTTATTGAGTAATTATCAGAGCAGAAATTTAATAATTAACATCTTTTCTAAATTAATGTGCTTAACGTGTTGTCTGACTGTTTCTATGCTTTCAATTTACATGCTATCATGATAACTATTGTTTTCACAGTAAAAGTAAATTCATGTTAAAAATTCATGTTAAAAATTCATTTGCATGAAAAATGAGAAAGATTTTTTTATTTCACCAGGACCTATTTTAAAGAAGACAGATCCTGATTGATGATTTAGAAAGCTCAGGAAAACATAGTTACTCAGCACCATTCTCAATCTGGGACACTATCTGTGACTGTGAAAAGTCTCATTTAAACTGTCTTGGGGTTTTCTGGCTTTGCAAATAAGACTAGATGTGGATCATTTCCTCTGCAAAGGGCCGTGTATAGCTCTAATTTCTTGTACAGTTTATTTGGTCTGTGCTTCCCCCTCAGGCTCAGGTTATAGCACAGAATAAAGGACAGGAAAGACAAACTGCTCTGGGTTCTCTGTTTCGTGCCTGAGCACAGTAACCCTTTGCTGTCCTGTGCAACCCAGGAAAATGATGACTCCTTAACTCCTCTGCTTGTAATCATTTGCATTGCTCTGTACCATTACTCTGTTAGTAGGGTCAAAGAATGAGGTGTAATGGGGGATAAATACTAAAAGATAGTTTTTCTTTATAATCCTCTTGGTCTTCTCTGCTCTCCTTCAAGTACCAAGCATTAATCAAACCCTCACATTTAGCATGTGATCAGGCCTGTAAAGAAGCAGCAGATGACAGCTAGGAGGCAATCCCCATAACTTCCAGCACGGGAGCTGAAGAGAACTAAAAGAATTTTTAAGTACTTGAGCAATGAATGCCTACCTTCACCCCTCTGAGTTAGAGAAATCAGGGAGGATGCACCTTCCAAACCAAGCATAGTCTTGATAACTCTTTAATCCTGAAATATCAATTTGTCTTTCTTTTCCTAAGCTGTTTTGTAAGCAGGTGCAGTATTGATGATGTTTGTGTGGAAAGCGGTGTAATATGGTCAGTGTTACTTCTGATACATAAAGCACAGAATATAACAAAGCAGACATAAATTTGACTAATATGGTTTGACAACATTTAGTTTTCTTTCTCCCTTCAAAGGTCTTGGAGTTTCTGAAGCGTTCAAAACGTTCATCTCTCCTACACTTTTGAGAACCATTCGTTTGGTGCGAATTGGCCGAATCCTGAGATTGGTTCGAAGAGCGAGAGGAATTCGAACCCTTCTGTTTGCATTACTGATGTCTCTTCCTGCACTGTTCAACATTGGCCTTTTGCTTTTCCTGATTATATTCATTTATGCCATTGTGGGCATGGAAAACTTTGCCTATCTTCCCTGGGAAGGTGGGATTGATAACATTTTCAATTTCCAAACCTTTTCTGGTAGCATTCTCTGTCTCTTCCAAATTACAACATCAGCTGGCTGGGATGGTCTTCTGGCCCCTTTGTTAAGGGACTCTGATTTGTGTGCTCCCAACTTAGGTTTAACACAGTCATGTAAAACCAATTGCATAAATAAAACATTTGGTATTTTCTATTTTGTAAGCTATGTCATTATATCATTTCTCATTGTTGTAAATATGTACATAGCTGTCATTTTAGAGAACTTCAATGTTGCCACTGAAGAAAGCACAGATCCTCTTTGTGAGGATGACTTTGATATGTTTTATGAAACATGGGGAAAATTTGATCCTCTGGCAACAGAGTTTATTGACTATTCTGCCCTTTCAGAGTTTGCAGATGCTCTGGCAGAACCTTTGCGCATTCCAAAGCCTAATAACATCCAGCTCCTATCCATGGACCTCCCTCTAGTGAGTGGAGATAAGATCCACTGCTTGGATATCTTGCTGGCTTTCAGTAAACGAGTCTTGGGAGAATGTGGAGATTTTGATAGACTTAAATTACTCATTGAAGAAAAATTTGTGGCTGCCAATCCATCTAAATTTTCTCACAGGCCAATTTCTTCTACATTTAAAAGAAAACAAGAGGAGGTATCAGCAGTTATTATCCAAAGGGCCTTCAGGAGGTATTTGTTACAGCGTTCTTTCAAAAATACATCTTTCTTTCGCCGTCGCAGACATAACAGTGCTGTTTTTGGAGAAGAAGCACGGGAGAAGCAAAGGCTTATTGTATCAATGTTTAATGAAAGTAGTGGCAGGAAGATACATAAACCACGGTCTGTTTCTTCCACATCTCTCCCCTTGCTTTACGATGCTACTGCTGAAACAAAAAGGCTGGACATATAAGGTTACCCCAGGCTGCAGCATTTTTGATATGTAAACCAAAGTCACTTATTTTCAGATGGAGGCCATATCCCAGAGCATAATACTCTAAATTTAGAATAATGATGGCAACCTTGAAGTATTCTAATTGTTCAGATTTGCAAATTCTCCCTAAAACAATTAAGATCTGAGCAACTATGAAATAAATGTTGGAGGAAAATCAAACCATATAACCCTTTTCCTCAGCTACTGGAGTAAATGGGTTAATTTTCTCAACTGCCAGTTTTGTCCTAGTTCATGTTTTTATGGAAGAAATCCATAAAAGGCACAGATTTATAAACACACAAGGCTCTAGAATATTTTATATCTCTTTAGAGATAAACAATATTTCCAACCAGGCTGTATTGTAGCAAAAATAAATAATTACTGCGCTTCTGTAAAAGAGCTCGTTCAGGACTCTTGAGTATAATCAGCCTCTAATTTTGATGGTTTGGGACCATCTCCTCCTAGTGCCTGTGGGTGGATTTGCTTATGCTTAAGAATTTTTGAGGTGTCTTTATATGTGCACCTAAATGGATTTAACAGATCATTCTCAGTTGCCTGTGCATAAAAGTTGTATATAATTCATTCTTTGTATCGTTCAGCAGATGAAAACTGTCATACTCATAGTTATCAAAATCAAAGGATATTATACAAGAGATACTACTTCTACTAAATCTTGAGAATCATTGTACATAAGATTTAATCACCCTCGAAATGTCATTGAGAGCATTACTTAGTCATCTGAAAAGCAGTTCATGGTATATTTTATGAGACAACATTTAATAAAAGTTAGGGGAAACATTTATCTGATTGATTCTGAAAAAAATGCATGAAAAATGTATAACATTTTGCTGATTCTTTTGCAGTTTAGCTTGTTCAGATGAAGTGTCATGGTGGATTCAGAACCACTAATAAAATACAACTGGTTTAGATTCTTCAATAAAAAGTTCAGATGCTTAACATGTTTTTGTCTGTTTTGTGATGAGTATTTTCAGTTTCATTCATTACAGGACATAATATGTTCTTAGAGGGGTAAAACCACCATAAAATAATTTTCCAAAAGTAGCTACGTATTAGTACAAGAAAAACTGAAAATGTTTCACTTTTTCCAGGGAATCCAAAAAGATTTAGCATTTTCAGGCCAAGAGTTGCAGGAACAATAAGGTAATTACTCAACTTTTAATGTAATTTCTATTTTAAATACTATTAAATATGACAGTAAAATCTAAGTTAATTTCAGGACAAATAAAGGCACAGGAAATTGAAGAATTAAAAAGTTCAGATACAGTATGGTTTGAACTGGCTTTATTATGGTTGAGCTTTGACAGCCCAGGGAACTGGTGGAGTCACGATCCCTGGAATTTTTTCAAAGACAAGTGGATGTGGCACTTAGTGCTGTGCCTTAATGAGCATGGTGGTGTTTGACTAAAGGGTTGGACTTGATGATCTTGGAGGTCTTTTCCAACTTTAATGATTCTATGACTGATTACTTCCAGAACCAGCAGCAGTTCAGAAAAAAAAATGGTTGATGAAGAAAGTTTTCAGCCCTCTTAGCTTAACTCAGGAATTTGCACTCAGGAGCTGCATCCCAGGGCAGAGGGATGCAGAGGTATTTGGTGGCTCTGCTTGAGACCTGCTCCTGTCTGGATTGGGTTGTTTCACGCAGAGTGATGCTTGTGAGGTGAAAACTATTTCTTTTGTTCTTTGAGAGCTGGAATGAGCCGACAGCTTTTGTTCAGGGATTAGGTACCGTTAGATGGCAGCATTTGCTGTTATTTAAAATATGGCCAGTATTCAGTGAAACACCTGTCAAAGTCGCACACTTCAGCACAAAGGTATTAAAATGATTGTAAATAAATTAGAAAAAAGTGTCAAAATCCTTTTTTTTTTTTTTCCTGTCCTGTACTTTCAAGTTAGCCACAGTTCTCAGTAGGTACTTGTTCACTGACCTGACTTTAGGTAGACCTTAATGACTGTGCAGAGAAAAAAAGTTCTCCTGTATCCTTGGATCTTCTATCTTCACATCACTGTAAAAGGAAATGTTTCTTAGACAAGAGATAAGAATGCTTTCTTCTTGCAAATTGAAAAAGAAAGAAAGACTGGAAAAGCCAGATAAAAGACTTTAAAACATTAATCAATGTATCTTTGCAATTTAAAATTATTTGAATGCAACACCAGGTTCTCTGCCCTGGATCATAATTAGAAATACTTCAAAGATGAACACTTTTTTTTTTAAACGGCAACATTTTCAGGGCAGCAGTTTTGGGCAAAATCATACCTCTCATGAACACAGCCTTAGGGATTATTTTACCTCAGAAACATGCAAAACACCTGAATTCACAACAGACCAAATTTTGAAGTCTGACCAATGCTTTAGTATTGAAGCACTAAAATAGCCTTAGCATGCAATTGCAGGATTGAAAGGAGAGCGGTGACATCCATCTTCTTTGTGCCACAATTGCCCAAAAGGCGCTTCTGGGGTAATGTAGAGTTTCTTTAAGAAGTCTATACACTGTGATGAACATGTGGGAGCAGATAACAGGGGTACAAGAGAGGGAATAATACATAACCATAATAAACTTATTATATCAATAAACATTACAACTCTTCAACTGTAGAACATCTTATAGTGAACATAATATTGGAACTAAACAATTCTTGCCCTCAGGACGTCTGCATCCTATGCATCACAGCGTAGATGCACTCGGTGTCAGCTGCTTCTTCTGCCTTCATCCTCTCTTCAGTGAGCTTCCTCCACCATTCATAGGAATCTCTTGGGCCACCTCCAACAGTGGTGCAGACCTTCATTTTGCATTTCCATCTATCACTTTTCCTGTGTAGAAATAGGATGCACCTGACCTCTGGTAAGTAAAAGTTCTTCCTCCTTTTGTGTAGCCCTGTATCCCTGAAAAATTTTCTGGAGTTCCTCAGTTGCTGCTAACCTTGCAATGTTTGCACTATCCAGTGTTTCTTCAGGACTCAAGGAGAGCCCACCTGTATTTAAGTTATTTGGAAAAAAATAACCTGCAGTGGAAGGTTCCCTGCCCGTGGCAGGGAGGTGGGAACGGGAGGATCTTTAAGGTCCCTTCCAAAGTAAACCAAACCAAACCAAACCATTCTGTGATTCTATGAAAGGTACCAAAAGGAGAGTCCCATCAGGGCACCTTTTCCCTGAACACAACAGAATATTGTGCTTGAAAAGTGTGTCATCAACACCATCGCTTTCCAAAGCCACAAGTGAGGTAAACTTTCTGTCCCAACATCCCCAGAACTTCGGTCATGCAGGAAGAAGTACCACAATGTGCTTCTCAAACTCGCATTTAGAAGGTTCCCATAGGAATAGCACACCCAACAACTGGAGCATCTTTAGGCAGGGGTCAACATTGCAGCTCAAAGTGATAGAGAAGTTTGTCACATTATCATATTGTGTTGAAACCAAGTAGAACAAACAGTTCGATATTTCTGGGAAAAGTTACAAAGATGGAGCAACTGTGTTTAAATGCTATTGTTAATTGCCACCAGTTAATAGCAAGTCTGACTTAGACTGGCTTCAGTTGGCATTACAAAGTTACTTTCTGAAGTCTCTCTGTCTCATCTTCCAAGAAAAGACTCTTTGCTTCCCAGAGACGAAAATTAAAATGGGCCTGGCACATGCAGAGCTGCCCATCTCTTCTGCTTCTGAGAACACAGACTGCCTTCAGGATAACCAACAGATCCTATCCCAGAGTCTTTGCTGATCAGTAGCATTCATTTCAGCTATTGGTCCCCTTCAGCTTTGGAGTTGCCTTGGAGATATTTGGAGAACAGAGATACTGTAGTTATTGACACCTACTTCAGGAAGCGTAATGCTGTCCTGGAAGGGAGGATCCCCGTGTTTTGATCAGGTCTCACTCCAGTGAGTCTTCTCTGTGGTTTCTTCTTTTTTACAGTTTTACTGAGGGCCATGCAGATTCATCTCCAGGTTTCAGGGAAGTTGGGTTTATGCAGGAGCTTTCAAAAGTTAAGAGATTCGTAGGTCAGACTTCAGCCAACAGCCACTATACCTTGCTGCCCAAACGCTGAGTAGAATTTGTCCCCAGAGATTATTTAAATTAGTCACTAGAAAGATCAAACAAAAATCTAAAATCAATCAGTCTAAAACTAAAATCAACATAAAATAATCTATGTGGAGTCTAGTGGTGGGAAAAGGGTGAGGCTGGGAAAGCATGAGGACAAAAAGGAGTAAGGGAGATTCTTCCATCAAACCACAATGTTCAGAGTGGACTCTCTTGACAAACTTAGCCCCAGCCTTGACCAAGAGCTTAGGTCTAAAGGTTTTAACAGCACTTGAACTGAACAGTACTTAACTGATTGCCTAATTTAAACAATTTAACAAAAGATTATTTAGAGTTTACTATAAGCACAACAGTAACTCACTGATAGGTATACTTACTTAGGAATCTAATGTACTGAATAATCTAAGAGAGCAGAATTCATAACACATTTGCTATAGCATGTTTACACTGGCACATACACAGCCTAAAGAATATGCACAATGTATACCTGGGAAAAATTCTGCTAGAGTTCAGTATGATGCCTTAGGACTTTTAAGACTTGTAGCAAATAGATTTTTGATATAGCTGTATAGTTTCTAACACTTGAGAATAGCAGTTAGCTGAAACTCCTTCCTCACACTTCATATCAAATTCTCGAAATTTTTCCGGTTTGGTTTAATGTTGTTTTCAAGGAAAAGATTTTAGCGTGTGCATCTTGCTTGGGACATGTACCTGGAAAGATACCATTGTAGACAAAGCAACTTAGAAGGCCTGGAGCCCTTGGAGAAGCTCCAAAGAAGGGATGTGACGCTGAGAGTGATGATGAGGATGTACAAAGGGCTCCAGAGACCTTCAACTCAATTCTGGAAAGGCGTGCTGAGGAGCGGACCTGAGGGAAGTTCATGGGGGCAGACAATTTTTGGGTTGGATGTATCCATTTGATTTAATAATTAATTAGAGTTCTAAAATTGTTGGATTCTTATGCAGTATCATACATTATCAT